GGGGTCAATGTCGTTTTGTTTACACAAAATCTCGACATGGTCTTTGCTGTCGACATCGAAGCTGGTAGGGCAGGAATGAAGTAAGACTGGGTGAGTTACGCGGGATGTGACAAAGACAGGGTCCGCCTTTTCTGTCCATAAGTGTTTATTGTCTAGTAGCCATTTGGCTGCCTTCCGATCTTTTGTAAAGATTTTAACATCGCTGTTCGGGAATTGAGCTACCACTTTAACCTTGAGAGGCTCGTTATCAATGGTTGCCTTCGCAAAAGTCAGTGCTTCCTCAATTTTTTGGCAGATTTGAGTAGCTGTTAGTGTTAGGCCCTCAAAAGGTTTTGGCTTGTCGACACGTTTTCGAATTACTACCTGGCCTAGTTTGAACCTATTGATATATGAGGAGGGTGGTACCGGTGGTAAGTGCTTAGGTGGACCCACTGTGGGTCTACCAGCAGCCTTCTCGGAGTAAAGAGCTACCGGCTTCGCGGGTAGGCCAGCCGGTTGAGCAACAGGCTGAGCCGTCATATTAGTGGAAGAAGTGGAAGACATCGTCTCCACTTTCTTCTCTAATCTGGTCAGGTTTTTTGCGATGCCCTCAATTCTCGCAAGGAGAGTATTAAACAAGTCTGCTCGGGGAGGGCCAGCAGGTGGCGAAACCTTACCAGACACTGCCCGTTCAAGACTTTCCAGCCTAGGGATGAGGGAGTCGACCAATTTGGTCAACTTATCTGCAAGATGATGTTCAACACCAGGCAGAGAGCCCTCAGCGATATACATATCCAAATTGGCTATGTTATCGCTGGCTGCTGGGCCTCCGCCCTGCGGGAGCAGGGGGTTGGGCATGTGGGGGTGTGTGCTTTGCAGGTTTGAAGGTGATTGAAGTGGAAGAAACGGGAAGGGGATGGAAGGGGGATAGGAGCGGGGCTAGTGCTCAATTGTATTGCAAGGGATGGGAAGGGGAGAGTTTTTTTGGAGTATGCAAGGTAGATTTTAAGATGGTAATTTTGGACGAGGTGAGAAAAGGTGGTGACATATAAGTAGAAGGAAAGAGCCCCCTGTGGTTGAAAATGCCTGGTGCTCATTACTTCACCCCACTCCCCCTCTTGTACTTCCCATACTCCAAATATGGAGTTTGCTCACCCATACAAAAAATCTCATCTATCCTCAAATGTCTAGAGAAGATCACTCTTTGAAATGATTAGGTAGCTCGCGGCTCTGCCGCGCCCATCTCACTGAGCAGGTTACTTACACTCTGCTGCCCGCCCCCAGTATTTCCTTTCCCAATCCTTTCACCTCCCAAACCCAAAACCAACACTCACCCCGGTCCATTTGATCACCATTTCCCGGGCAAATAACACATCCCATTCCGGATCAGGAAAACCAACATGCTCAACCCACTCAAATCACGAAAAACCTAACCTAAAAATATTTCCTCATCCGATTCCATAAGCCAACTTTTCATCAATTGCCAGTAAGCTGCCCAACTTTGCAACAAATTTTGTTCCAACATTAAATCAACCCTTATTAAGATGTGGTGGAATGGAATTAACAAACTAGGCTGGTGATGTCAAATGGAGCCTGGGTGAAGAACGGGTGACTTTGCTTTTTAAGAATAGACACAGCTGGAGCCATTGCGAGGAACTAAGGGTGGAAATGGGTTTAGGAGAGGAATGTATCGGTGTTGAGGTGGATTATTGAAGTTGAAAAGGGGTAAAGTCTTGGTCTTTAAGAAGAAGACTGAGTAGGAAGGGAACAGGTCAAGGAAGTTGGAATAGGAGCGGGGAACGCACACACCCAGTCAAGTCCGGCGCCCGCTAGGCGTCACTCGCGGCGCTGTTGCTGCCCTGCAGGTTGGGGACGCCTCCAAGGTGCTATTCTGCCACACATCCGGCGGCTCCATGTTGAGGCCTTCAAGACAAGGTCTTGTGGCGCCTCGACGGCGTCAAGGCCATTTGGGCACACCGGATGGCCGCATGCATTCAGCAAAAAAACACCCGGCCTGTGAGGGTCGAACTCACCCGAACTCTGCTGCTTGAGTTCGCTACCTGTTGCAACCCAATGATGGAGCGGACAACTGACCGCAACATCATCAAGACATGCAATTCTGACCAGAAAAGCAAACCTCCATCCCCAAATCCGCCTCAGGAAGCGCAGTTGCTGCTCCAATCGGAAAAAAAAAAATTGAAGTACAAAGAAAAAAAAAGGAAAAAAATTGAACGTTTTTCTGATCGTTTGATCCAAAATCTCATTGATCCAATCGGGTCTGAGTGAGGAAAGAATAATCCAATCGGCCCGGTCAGCAGGTCGCCACCAAGACACCCTGCAGGGCAGATGCGTGGGTGCCGCTCAAAGGATGACAATGAGGCGACTACATGGCCATCCCGCCATGCGGGACCGCTTGCGGGCGCCTCAGAGGACGTTGTGCGTTGACGCCACCCGCTTTGACCGTAGGGCATGGCATAAGGCAGCCTGAGGACGGCCTTGTGGCCTGTAGGTCAATGCGACGCCTGCAGGTGACCGAACCCTGGCGCCCCCCAATCCCATGTCCCGGGTGAGTGGCTGGTGGCGCCATTACAGCCTCGGGCGCCATCGGGCAGGGTACATTGGCGCCTTGGTGACCTTGGGTCCCGGTGACACCTTAAGTGGTCGTAAAGGCGCCCTTAGGGCTAGCGTGCCTCCGGGGCGTCCAACTTTTTTTTCGATTCGCCCGGCTGTGTGCAAAGGAGATTAGTGTTCCCGGGCTGAGGATTGGAAAAGGAAAGCAGGCTGCGGTAGTCAACTATCAGAGATTATAAGGCAGTTGAGCTAGAATGGATAAGGCAATGAGCTAATCAAGGATACGGGCAGAAGGGTATGGTGGTATCATGTGGAGGTCGGAATAGGTGACTCAATATATGCAGATCTGGAGAGGAAAATGCGACTGGACCCAGACAAGGAAATGAGGGAGTCAAAGATGAGGCCGTATCTTTTGAAAATATCATAGACTGGACAAATGAAGTAAAGAGTAGGTGTGCGAGGATTAGGAAATGAGATGATGTGAGAATAAATAGGAAACAATTAGGGTTCTCAAAGTTGAAGCATACGAACATACATACAAGACTACATACAACAGAATACAACACATAAGCTGTTTTTCTGCGGGGGTAGGTGGGGGTATGCATCCAGAACGGGGTTTGTTGCACGGGTATGGATTAGCGCATGGAAAAAAAGCTATGTAATTGTGTATGTACGAGCCGTATGTCGGCCTGATTTCAACTTTGAGAACCCTAAATGAATGGAGTGAGATAAGGAAGAAAGTGGATGTGTGTTACATCGGATGAGTGGGCCAAATACCGGGAGAAGAAATGTAGGGAATTTTGAGGCTGATTTGGTGAATTGAAATGGGCCGGGGAAAAGTTGACCGGTATGACCGGTTGTTTGTTGTGTCTGCTTCAGGAATAATACCGGTTGTTTGTTGTGCCTGCTTCAGGAATAATATTGATGGTTGGGAGTGGAAGGAGGACCTGGTGGCGTGGAAAAGGAGGCTGGAAACATGAGGATGGGGGCTGGTTGCGGATAAATAAGAGGAAATGTGTGGTGGTAGGACAAAGGAACAGATTGTTTGAAAAGTAAACAGGGTTTTAGAGGGTGAAAGCGTAGGGTATAAATGGATTGGGACTGGGTGCATTGGTTTCGAGTGAAGAGGGTGCAGCAGGCAGGGCTGTGTGTAGGGTATTGAACCATTACCATTTGTCCCCACACTATGCCGGGTTATTGATAAGTAGTACTGTGAAGAAGAACTTGGCAACAGGGCCGATAATAAGAATAAGGCAGAAATGTTTTCCATCAGACGTGGTTGTCGACAAAATTATCTGTGTTTAATAAATATTTAAATCCTGATGGGTATAAGAATCAATTTACAATTCCAAACTACCAATCAAAAGAAATCCAAACTATTGATGTATAACTATTGAATAAGGTTCTCCTTGTGCAAAATATTGGATTTGTTGATTTTGTTGATGGGACTACCCCACAGGTAGCACATAAGAAAGGCACATTTGTTAACTAGATTGAGCAATATTAACACTCTTCTTTAATAGAAATGAATTACCAGGAATAATAATTCAAACTTTTTTTTGCTCTGACATAATTTAATCAGATAATAGTTAATGGGTCCCAGTTTTATGGCAGCCAGAGAAGCTGATAGTTCTAGATTTTATTTCGGGAAGAGAGAGAGAAATCAGAATCAAATAATCAAATATTGAGAGCAAGGAAAGTATACAAACTACTAAATCGCCACAGCATAAAACCCAAAACTGGCCATAAGGCGTTAACAATCAAGATAAAAAATGATAAATATAGTAGAGGTAGACAAGTAAAGATAGGGGTATAAAGGTAGAAAAATGAATGAGAAGATCTCTATGTTGAATCTGTATACAGGCTACTTTGAGAAGGTGAGCCTAATAGCCACAGGTGGCAATTCGGGTCTTAGCGATTGCCATCAAAGCAATCAAGTCCCACTAAAAAGGTGTGTTTTTATTTTTATTATCAAATGTTAGATTCCTAATGATCTGGTAGATTATTTTATACTCTGGAGCGAACTTACTGGGCGAATACTTCCATCCGAGGTCACAGTCAACTGCTTCGTTGAGCCTGATGTCGCTGTCGTATTGGTACGGGCTGTCATTAATACAAAAAACAAATCCATTCAATTAATCTATCCAGAAGACATGATAAGTCCTAACAGCAAGACTCACTTGTAACCTGTGCAACAATCCTCTCATTTTCTAGGATCTTACCATCCATACTCAAGGCAGATCGTTTGTAGGTGTAATCTGAGCTTTCATTCTTGATATACCATCTATCGGAGAGGAATGCTCGAGGGTCCAATCTGAAAGTGGTGCCATCATCAGCTTCGTAAGTCTGTCCAAACCCGCAAGCTTTGACACGCTATATGTAGCAGGGCATCATTTGAGAAGTATAACAAAACAAAACAAAAACATTAAAAAATGAAGTTAGTTTGTTGTTAACTGGTCGCAAGACAAGACATTACTAACAGAATCAATTTTCAATTTTTTCTGACCAGTGATGGCGTCTTGAACAATGAACTCTTTCGCGGTCAGGTTAGCACCAGCGTATCGGTTTGTGATATGGTATGAGACAGTTCCATTTTGGTTGTAGACGCTGAAGTTAGAGTCGGTCCAGTTGATATCTCGTTCCATGACGTAGATCGAGGATGCTGTTGAGTTGAGCGAATAGCTATTTCCCATTACCGTGGTGCCATTGGTGCTTCCTGTAACAGCTGTGGCGTTCACGGGAGCGGCGGTGGGGTTCAAAGCTGAGGTACTATTCACGCCGGCCACTTGATTGCCATACGTAGAGTTGGTTGCTCTGGTAGTGTTGGTGGCAACTGGTGTAGGTGCCCCGTTCATAATAGCATCATTTGTGGACTGCTGACCAGTGGGCGAAAGATTAGGAGACGCCTCACAGGGGGATCTACTTATGAGCAGAGCTACACTGATAGTAACGATTAAGCCCTTCATCTTGATTGACAGTTGTGACTAGAAAATAGATGCAAAAGGAATGGTGGCTACAAGTATGGGGAGAAGGTACAGGCTAGAAACAAGGGTTAAGATTAGTGACAAGAGATATGAGCGGGAAATATCCTAGCGGCCTGAGATGAAGAGATCACTGGCGGCTATTTATTCATTCACCTGGTCGACAGAAGCCCTAGCTTTCTGACAAGCCATAGCTGATCCCCGCAAAAACCAAGAGGGATATGAAGTTGAAACTTTCCTCTTCTCAGTGAAAGGCTATCAGTCACATCGTGACTGCGTGTATACCTCCTGCCTGGCTGTTACTTGTTTTTCTATAACTCACTCTACAATGGCATTGGAATGCACCTCGGTCTCTCTTTTTCTTGAAAAAATGTATGCTGTGATGGACCGCGTCGAGGAAGCTTAAGACTCAAGTACCTGTACATTGTCATGTCTTTGAATCCGATTGGAAGGCTATGCTTACTCCTACGCGTGAGGCATTGTGATTACAGCCCCGAGGGAGGCATCCAGGTCGATGAGCTGGGAGCTGGTCCCCCCCAATGATAAAGGCTGTATGCCGATGTATCAAATCAATCGGGGACGCCCGATGTGAAACATCAGACTTGCCAACTATGACATTTTCTTGGCTATGTAGTTAGGTTTTCACCGTTACTTGAGCCTGGGTCAATCATGCCAAGAATCGTCTGCGAAGTTGTATATTGAGGTGTATATTGAGTCTCTTGAGTAAACCTTGAGGTAAAAGTATAATCCTTCGTTGCGACTATATTTATGTCTGAAGGCATGATTAGGGATGGGAGATCCCTGTACCTCTTCCTGAGGTAAAAATGTCAGCGGTAATGTTGACCCGTTCAAACTGCGTTCTCTCCCGATCAACTGCTGGGCTTGGGCGACGGCCATAGCTATGACTTGAAGTTCCCAAATGGACCCGGTCCTCTCCTTCCAGCGGTGCTTCAATCAAGCGTTACAGATACTGCGGTTTTGTATATATATATATATTATGACTTATAGACCTTGCAGCGTCTGGCCTCGGGCTGGAAGGGTCGAAGCGAGGGAATCCAAAAAAGGCCAATGGAGGAATGCTATGACGTCCAGATCACCAGATCTTAAAAAGTGTGCAAATGTAAATACATCTTTCGGCCGTCCCGCAGAGATGAAGATAGTGCGAAACCAGAGGTCGGAGGACGCAGCATTCTTGCAAATTGGCGATTATTAAAGAAGACATGCACCTTCCGCCTCTGGCCGAGACCTCGGCCCTTGGCTCTTGAACCGCCAGCTCAGCAACCAAAGTTGCAGACGGACCCAGAGGTCCCATTGTCTGATGGACTGACACTTCTTGTTAAGAGCAAGATTATGCAATACTCTTTTGGAAGTTTTTTTGACTGATGGTTCTCCATATACAAATCTGTGTTACCATAACAACTCCAGTCATGATATCCCAAAAAACAGCTCCTTTGGCCTTTTGAGGGCATGCCATACAAAATTATTTTATGAAAAACATTTGAATTCTCCATCCATTAAAAACTAAAGCAGAAATCAAATGAATGTTTTGAGTGTAACCTATAACTAACAACATGTTGTTGCAATATTGGATCTCTGTAGGCAAAAAGCATTCAACATGTCTTATAAAATCTCAAAAAATTCATTTGAATCCAGGAGATTTCTTCACTGTATGTGTGCTACAAAGAAACTTCCCCCCATAGAGATGTCAAAAATGTAAATCAAATATTTAAATAGGAAAAAATCATGTTCCTGAAATGGGTATAATTTCAAGTTTTTTTTTCTTCAAAAACAATAATCATCAAATTGTACATAGGCCCTGACTCTCAATGACTATCTCTGGCCAGTTGTTGTAAGCATTTTTTGCAAATGGATGGCAGCTACCTCACTGGGTGGAACAAATGAGGTGAGCTTTACCTTGTCAACTGGAATCATCTCCCTGCAATTGGCAAGAAACAACTACCTCATTGACCAGCAGGTTTCCAGTTAAAGAGGTAGGACTGTTACCTCTTTGACCACAACAATTTCTTTCTGGTCAATGAGGTATGGCTACCTCATCAACTTGAAGTACATTCTGTTCAGTGTGACAGTTGTTGTTGGAATCTGATGTGAATGCCTCATGACCCTTCACCTTGACTCAGCCTTGAATGTTAATCATCATTTTAAATCTAATTCACTCATCCCCCATTCAACCAGTTACTCATACAGCTAGTCTTAGCCATCTTTCTTCTTGACTCTTTTATCACCTCACCTGCACCATCTCAGATCTCACACAAATCATCTTCCCCATCTTCCTTAAACAATCAACTTGTTCCACATTTCAAATTCATCTATTACTTCTTCTCATCCTCTATCCCTTCTCAATTATTTTTCTCTGGTCTAACTGCATCTCAGGTGAGCTAGGACACCCTCAACCTGCCCAGCTTTGCACAATGTGTATATTAAAGGGCCTCTTTTCTAAATTCTCTCAACTCAAACTTCTTATCTTCTTAATGAGATTGACTCACATTATTGTAGTCCAGGTTACAGAAAAATCTGTACTCTCATGCATGCTGATTGATATTTCTAGGGTCTTAGAAAAACAAATCCTTTTTTTAGACAACATGAACAACTCCTAACCACTGTGGACAGACATCCATTGGGAGTTGTTTTCTAAACTGTGGGCCACTTTGGAAGTCATCCAGCCATTTTTTTAAAAAAAAAATGATTCCCCCAGCCAACTCCCAAAAAATAAAAACAAAATTGGCTGTGGGCCGCTACACTAACCAGAGTGGTTAGTGCAGTGTAATGTTGTAGAATTCTGCCAAGCTTGAACGTAGAGTAGCAGAATTCCACCGTGTCCACACTAACACTACATGCGCAGTAGAGATGTTGCTCGATACCCGGGTACCTGTAGCGGGTGCGGGTACCTGCCTCAAAAATCCAATATTTTTGACACCCGCACCTGCTAGGGCCGCCAGGGCGGGTACCCGGTGCGGAAAGTAAGGCGCGCCCTAGGGGATTTCTTGTACTTCTCCGCTCCGCTGCGCGTTGTAGTGGCGGGAGCGCGCCTTGGCCAAAGCTTTGGCTGGTTTGTTTGGGGCATGCGGAATGCTCGCGGCGCTGATGCGGAAAGCACGCGGAGCTGACGCTACACAAGCAGGCTGAGGAAAGCGGCGGTGCATTAGCGGAAAGTCTAGCTTTCCGAGGCGCGGGAAAGCGGGGAAAAGTAGACCAAATGCACAAGGTTCTGAAAAGCTTACTGCGGGGAACCCGGGCACCGGCGGACACCGGGGATCACGGCCGACTGCGGAACGGGGGTTCAGCGTATACTGCGGAGGGGCTACAAGGAGCGGGGAGCACCAAGGGGCGGAAGCGGGGTTTGGAGCGGACCAGAGGCGGAAGCGGCGGTGGGAGCGGACCAGAGGCGGAAGCGGCGGTGGGAGACCTGCTTAGGAGCGGCCGGAGGAGTACCTGGACCGACAGGCGTCGGAGGGGTGACATGCGGAGTCCGAGGGGGTGACAGCGGATGACAGCGCGGGAAGTAGTAAGAGACTGGAGTGTGGGAAACTGAGGAGGAGTGGACTTCGAGGCAGAAGAGGAGGGAGGGAGGGGGGACTTATGACTCGGAACATATCAGAAAAACAGAGTGACTTAGGAGTGAATCATGTATTAGCCTAAGGAATTGTTAGAGATAGATTAGAGTTAGAGTATTTCCCACCAAAGAACAATAAAAGAGAGCTATTTTACCTACCTACAAGACCATCAAGCAAGTTACCCCGGACAACAAGCCGGAGTAAGACGCGTTGCGGAGCGGAGACGTACAAGAAATACCTTAGGGCGCGCCTTTCTTTCCACAGCGTCTTACTCCGGTTTGTTGTCCGGGGTAACTTGCTTGATGGTATTGTAGGTAGGTAAAATAGCACTCTTTGATTGTCTTTCGTAGGTAATACTCTAACTCTATTCTATCTCTAACAATTCTTTAGGCTAATACACGATTCACTCCTAAGTCACTCTGTTTTTCTGATATGTTCTGAGTCATAAGTCCCCCCTCTCTCCCCCCTCTTCTGTCTCCTTCTGTCTCGAACTCCACTCCTCCTAAGTATCCCACACTCCAGTCCCTTCCTGCTTCCCGCTATGTCATCCGCTGTCACCCCCTCGGACTCCGCATGTCACCCCTCCGACGCCTGTCGGTCCAGGTACTCCTCCGGCCGCTCCTAAGCAGGTCTCCCACCGCCGCTTCCGCCTCTGGTCCGCTCCCACCGCCGCTTCCGCCTCTGGTCCGCTCCAAACCCCGCTTCCGCCCCTTGGTGCTCCCCGCTCCTTGTAGCCCCTCCGCAGTATACGCTGAACCCCCGTTCCGCAGTCGGCCGTGATCCCCGGTGTCCGCCGGTGCCCGGGTTCCCCGCAGTAAGCTTTTCAGAACCTTGTGCATTTGGTCTACTTTTCCCCGCTTTCCCGCGCCTCGGAAAGCTAGACTTTCCGCTAATGCACCGCCGCTTTCCTCAGCCTGCTTGTGTAGCGTCAGCTCCGCGTGCTTTCCGCATCAGCGCCGCGAGCATTCCGCATGCCCCCAAACAAACCGGCCAAAGCTTTGGCCCAAGCGCGCTCTCACCACCACACCGGGTACCTGCACCGGGTACCTGCGGGTACCTGGAACATTTTTGCAGGCAAATATACCCAGAAATCTCACCCTTGAATTTCTGCATGACTTGGTAAATATAAGATTGATATTCACTAGATATATGAGTAAGAATAAAATAAAAATAAAGAAATAAAGAAAAACAAATTATTCTATCACCAATTTGAATTTTATCTTCTCTCTGATCTATCTTTAGCTTTACCCTTTTGCTTGGCCTCATTTGCCTTATTCAATGTCCATTGATGAAGACTGTACACCGTCTTTATGACTGGAGGAATTCCTCCAGTCATCAAGACTGTACACCATCTCAAAGGCCGGAGGGAACCCTCCGGCCTCAACAAAGCAACCAGATTAGTTCAGCAACACATGTAAGACACCAGCTGGTGTCCTACATGGGTTGCTGACACCTTTGTGCAGCCCAACACACCCAAAAAAGGGAGTGTTGGACCACCAATGATAAATTAAATTCTTCAGGGTAAGCATTCCCAGGGCGGG